CCGAGTACAGGCAGCCTCGGACTTGTCCTCGCCCTCAGACACCATTTAATAAACATTCTGCAGACACGGTCCTGGGTGGCTCCTCTTCGTTTTGCTCATGCGCTCCATGGTCCTGTTAATTTCAATGGGTAGCTTTACTCACGGCGGTCCCCAGTGGTCCCTCAAAGTACATTTTGTCCCTATAGGAAATTAATGGGATGGGAACCCCCGCACTGCAAGGGTTAAGTGTTCGTTTTGTCTAGGTTAAAAAAACAAAAGTTATACTCACCCAATGCTCTAAGGCAGCTTCTTCTTAGACCCACCTCTCTCCTCTGCAGAGGTCTAAGGTCCCGTAAATCATCACATTCTATACACCGTGCATAGATGTCATAGATGAAGACTCTAATACACAGGCTGGAGGAAGCAATGGGACAGCTGGCCGGCTCGGAGCTTCGGGTTAGTATAACTTTGAACTTAGACAAAAACGAAGACTTAAAGGAGAACTATGGGGTTAGGGCTTTTTCCCATAGTTCTAAGGGTAACGGGAGGACACAAACTAGCGTCCCCCTGTTACCCTAAGCTCAGTATATAGAGGGCTACAGCTCGCAGTATACTGAGAGACTGCAGCCGGGACGGATCCCGACATCACTGTTGAGATCCACCCAGCTGCGGGATTGACAGCTGGCTCTGCCTATCTAGAGGCCGAGCCAGCTGTACCCGCCCCTTCCTCGTCCGTTCCTCCAGTCAGCGCAGGATCGGACAGGGGAGGGGGGAAATCCCTGCAGGGAGCCGTGAGTGACAGTCACCGTTCTCTGCAGTGACAGGATCAAGAAGTGAGCGAGCGGCGGTATGTGTTCTCTTACTTCCCCATCTACTGAGCCGATGAGTGACAGTTTCATTGTCGCAGGTCGGCTAGAACTATGAGGCTGAGTGATTTTCACTCGCCTCCTAGTTCTCCTTTAAGCCTTGCAGTGTGGGGGTAGCCTCCCTGCAAGGGGTTATTAAGTTTTCCTGGAGTTCTTCTTTAATGACACAGTAATTGGAGGGCACCACAGCTCATAGTAGGTCACGGTGACCAGGTATCAGACACACTGGTAAGTGTCGAATACCAGCAGTGTGCTTGTATTCCATTGTGGTACTTTATCAATAGGGCAGCCTGAGAATACCTCCAGGGAGACAACTGCTCATCCCACAGCTTTCCAGGACCTGCTGGTATGTGTTCTGCAGATTATTGGGTGGATAGGAATCCTGCAGTAGCTATCAATGGCTTCCTACTTCTTGCTTTTCAAAGAATGAATGATTGTCCCCGTCACCAGTGGGAAAATCACTTCATGATATGATAGCTGAACTCCAGCCTTACCTTTTCCCCACGCTTGTAGCTAGTCCTCTCCTCTGCTGAACTGATGACTCTTAATTCCCTGTGAACTTGCATCACCACTATATAACCCTATGAAGCTGCAGCAGCTACCTGAGCCCGCCTTCATTTCCTGTCTGAACAGCCTTCATCATTCACTTGTAACCCCTTATACATACTGTTGCTTACCCCCCTTTCACTAATATTATCTTTCTCTGCCATCAATCGTTTTGTTCCTGAGCTTTATGTGAAAGAAAACATCCTCAGCATCCCTTTAGACATGTCTGCAACCAGGCAACAGACTGCACAGCCAAAGTCTGTAACACCCAGCGGCCAGCAGGGAGAAGCAGGCACATCTAAAGGGATCCCGGGGATGTGTTCTTTCTTATAATGCCTTCAGAGGCAGAATACTGTGATATTTACAGAAGCCGGCCAACCTCTCCCACCAAAAAGCAGCAGACAGACCCAGCGATGATGTCACAAAGTCTCAAAGGAGGTATTTTTTGAAAAAGAAAATGCTTTGATCAAACAAATTGCATTGCATTTTGATCTGTTGAATTGGGGGAGGCATTAGATCACTTTTGGATATCCTTAAAGTCATAACCCAAAGCCCTGGCAGACCCATGTTTCAGTTTAGTCATGTGACTTTTTACAGACCACACGCGCATATGGGCAGCCCCATGTTTCAGTTTAGTCATGTGACTTTTTACAGACCACACGCGCATATGGGCAGCCCCATGTTTCAGTTTAGTCATGTGACTTTTTACAGACCACACACATATGGGCAGACCCGTGTTTCAGTTTAGTCATGTGATTTTCTACAGACCACACACACATATGGGCAGACACATATTTTTAAGTTTAGTCATGTGACTTTCTGCAGACCACACACACACACACATATGGGCAGAGACATGTTTCAGTTTAGTCATGTGGCTTTCTACAGACCACACACACATATGGGCAGACACGTGTTTCAGTTTAGTCATGTGACTTTCTACAGACCACACACAAAATGGATGCAGCTTCATTTTTTAATGGCACGCAGAAGCTTTAAATGTTACATAGGTTAAAAAAAGACACATGTCCATGGAGTTCATGTCTGGAAGGAGCATTTGAGTCACATATTAGTTACTATTATGAATGTCTCGCTGCACCCTTATAGATCTGCACCACGTCCCCTCTTCTTTGCAGCAGGATATGTTTTGTATCTGTGATGTCACTCCCAGTAATCAATGATCAGTCTGTGAGAGTTCACAGACCAGTTACATGGAGCACAAATGATGACAGTTGTAAAAACCTGAAAAGCAGGGTGATGCAAGTCTCCGAGCGGCCTGCTTATGTGACACAACGTAGGATGTTGATCTTCTAGGGAGTATCTAGTTGCCTTTGGGGATCACACGGAAATTGTTTCCCTGTTGGAGAGAATGGCATCATTTTTAATGGGTGTTTTGCCTCCCTCTGGATCAGTTAAAGGATTGGGGTTCTCAGGATGCAAAGGTAGAATTTATTTTTATCTTTTGGCTGATCTCAATGTATATGGGTCTCAACCGTCCTGTCTATTAACGGTAAATGGAAAAAAAATCAGCCTAGCTAAAGCTGTCCATAGACCTGTCTGGCTCAGTTCCCCTATCCATCATGAACATGTGTAAACGGTGGAATCCCCCTTTTGGTGCCTGCTGAATACCACAAACATCTCCTGTTCTGATTGGTGCTGTTAGGTGCCAAGATAATTTAAGATAATTTCCTTTGTTGAGTGGGGTGGGTAGTTAATAGGGATGCACCGATACCAGTGCCGATACTTGGCATTTTCATGAGAACTACCCTAGTACAGCGGTTGCAGCTGGGACCGGGCTCTGGCACTCCACCACTGTCCTGAAATCATTTTTCTGTATTGTTTTAGAAAAACTGTCACATGACAATAAACAAAAATGTATCAGTACTTGTATCTGTGAGGAAAAGTATCAGTACTTGTATCTGTGAGGGCTTGGAAGTTTGGTTGAGAGCTGAAATAAGCGCAACCTTAACAGTTGGCATGCCTTGAAAGTAACTGTTTTGGGAGAAAATAAATTGCTGGGTAAACGTTTCTGTGTAAATGGGAACGTGAGGTGACCCTAATCTTTTCCCAGGAGCCAAGCTTCTTTCTCTATCCTATAAGTCTTCTATAAGCAACAAATACCAAGTCTGGACCCAAGATTATCTCTCCATGGTACAGGGCTCCCAAGACCATGCGTTCCATGTTTCTGCAGACACCCAGTCCGTGCTGGAGACGTTGCTGCTCCCCTGGGGACACGTTCCACATCTTTTGGTCCTATCCTACACTACAATGCTTTCCAGACTAGATCCATTCTGTCGCCAAGAAATTTACGGACCTCTCAGTTCCCATTGTCTTGGCCTTCTTCCTGCTCCACAATTCCATCCCCTTGAAGATCTACAAACGTTTAGATATGGTGAATGCAGCTCATTCCTGTATTCCAGCCCTGTGAAAACATCTCGATTCTCCTCGTCCTTTGAGTATTATACCTACTGGTGCATCTGTAAAAAATAAGTCAAGGCAACCTGGACTTGCTGTATTTTTCTTGAAGACGTTTCACTGGTCGTCTAACCAGCTTTCTCAATTTCGAATCAGTTGCCCTGACTTATTTTTTACAGATATATCATGACCTGAATGAATGAGAACCTTCACAGACATACCTACTGGTGGACTTTCATTTTCTGAGGCCTTGGTACTGGTGGTGCTATTTCTTCTGCTTCCTTCTTTGTCATTTGGTTCCTTTTCCATAAGATCCCTTCCTACCGTCCTCTTCATTCCTGTCTTCTGTGCTCCTCTTTCTTCCCGTCTGCTTTATTGCTACCCTACCCATGCAATATTCCTGGCCCATGGTAAAACTCTATGAAGGTGGTCCCGCTGGGTGACTGTGCAACACCAAGATGGCCTTTTTGTTTCGTTCCAGTGTTCCTATTTTTATTTTTTTGTTTCCCTGTTTGCATTGTTGTTAATGTTGACTTTCATTAACCTCTGTCATTGTTTTGCGATGTTCTACTTGTTTCACCACTTTTGCATTGATAAGCTTTGTAAATCTCTCTACAATACCAACTCTCGTGTATATTGATTAATCTTATTGGATCATTTTTTCTTATGTTGATTTCAAGTTTACTGGCAAAACTTTGTACTCTTTTATATTGATCTAAATAAAGAATTTATAGGAAAAAATGGTGGGTAAAGTTCCTGTTTAACATTGAAGGTTTGCAGAGATAAGGATGGAATCATTGTAATAAAAAAAAAAAAGAAGTTTTACAGTATGAGTAAGTAAAGTTTATGTAATGCTTATCTTCCTTTTTTAGAACTTCCTGATCAGATAACATTTTATTTCAGCCACTGCATCCTGCCTCTGATACTGTGGCAACCTCCGGGTGTTACAAAACAGCCCATAAAGCATGTGGTTTAATCCCGAACACCAGAATGTTTCCCATTGTGAATGCCCTGTGTTGTGAGTCAGCACTATTGTGTCCTCTGGGTGGGAGGTGAACACTTTGAGAAAGCTGGGTACTCAGGAGTGCCTTCTGGTTATTGTTACAGCACTCTGCTGGAGGAGCTCACCTGAGGCGGAGAGATGAGCAACAAAGCAGTGAAGCCCCCCAAAGGGGAAGATCCGGGGTCAACCAGGGTCATCACAATCATCTTCGTGGCTTTGCTCATCGACCTTCTGGGATTTACCCTCATTTTACCCCTGATGCCTTCCATACTGGATCACTTCAGCAAGTCTAATGTAAGTAGTGACATGCCACATGCTAAGGGCTTGTGTTACATGGGTGATCTGCATTTTAGCTGCGTGTTGTTAAGGTCTCAAGCATAGTGGATGAAATTTGTTAGGCTGTAGGCCGGAGTTTCCAGTCATTTAGTTTATGCTGCGTTACCTGGCATTATTTTAGACGCAGCATTTTCTATACAGTCAGCTGTAGTTTTTGTGTATAGCCATCAAGGAGAACGCAATGTAAATGGCAAACGCAGCATGCCCTTGCAATGTGTTTTTAATGGGCGTTTTGAGGTGCTCCGGGTAAAATATACATTTACATGTCAGAACACCCCCTTAAAGTGACACTTTCCCCTCGCCCCAATGTTAATGTTAATAGCACTTAAATGATGTCTCTTAATCCGATCTTCTTCTTCTTTCCTGATGTTTTCATCTGTCCCTCCAGTGCTGCTGCGGGTCTCCGATCCAGCACTGACTCCTCTGTCCTTACTCGCACTTCCTGTCCCAAGGTGTCTGCATGCGGGTGCACACATCCATAGACTTACCTTGTGTCTCTCCTCGTCTCCCGGCCGAAAATCCGAACTGCCCAAGATGCTTTGCGGCCACCCGAGCAGTTTCGGATTTTCTGACGGGAGCGCGTGGCGAAGACGGGGTAAGTTTAAGCCGCTGTTAAAGCGTTTTTTGTTTAAAAAAAAAACTTTTTGCCTATATCTACTGCTAGATATATACAAAAAAACGGAGGCTTTAGAAATCCTTTAAGTATATTACATTGAAATGTTTTGCAGGTACATCGCAAATGCATAGCAAACGCATCACAAGTACATTGTAAATGAGCCCCAATTTATACTGGGCACACCCATTGGTGCATATTGCTTGTTTCTGACTGATGCCCTGAAGCTGACCATACATGATGAAATATGATTGCACAATCTCCTTTAGATTTACTACAAATTTGTAGTGTTAGAGCTTACTTAACCTCTTGCCGTCCGCCCGTAGTAAAAAAACGGACGGACGGCACTGCTGCATCTGCGGGTTGCCGTCTCCAGACGGCATTTTTTTTCTGCTCGCGCGCGCCCCCTAGCGGGCACGCACGGGCAGAAAAGACCCGATCAATGCACACACCCGTTACCGGGTGTTTCACATATAGGCGATCAGCGGCTCCATAGCCCGCCGATCGCCTATATGTGCTCGTTCGCTTCAGAGAAGCTCCTTAATATAGTAAAAAAATAAAACCCCCAGTGGTGAATAAATACCACCAAAAGAAAGCTCTATCTGTCCCCAAAAAAGGGTATAAAATTCATTTCAGTACAGCGCTGCATGACGGAATAAATGTCAAAGTACCGCAGCGCTGAATACTGAAAAATGGCCTGGATGGGAAGGGGGTTTAACACCGCGGATGTCAACTGGTTAAACAATCCATTTAACTTGTATGCCACCAGGCTAGGCCCCACACTACATAGTTTTTGCGAGAGCTAAAAGAGATATTACATTGAGATTGTAATGTATGTGGTCAGGCTAAGCTGGCTCAGTCTCCTATTGAAAACATCTGCTCCAAACTGTGTTCCACCTAAACCTGCAATGTTCTTCCAGCCACCTTGGCCAACAGCACAGTGTAGTATGAGTGCAGTAAATGTTTGTTCCCTTTTCTGCACTAAAAAGAGAATGGCTGCTTTCCAGCTGCACAGAAATTTTCTAGGTTACTTATTTGCCATTCTTACTGTTGTCAATAGAGAATAAAAAAACCTTTAAATAAAAAAAAAATAATAATAATATATCTATCTATCTATCTATCTATCTATCTATCTATCTATCTATCTATCTATCTATCTATCCTTCAGAGCCAGCAGGTGGGGCTCTAGTGTCTTTTTCATGTTTAGCATTGTATCTTTGCTGAAAAGAAGCCTGTTAGGCATACACTTAGTCTAATTTCTGTGTTCCTGTGTCCTTATATGTGATGCCACAGATTGTGCTGTCAGGAATGCTGTGTACCACAGCCTAGTTAAAATATAAATGTGTTTTTTGTTCTGTCATCTCAGGATAGTCTGTACCAGACAATACAGGGCACCGTGGGCTGGTTTGCAGGAACCGTTGGAGTTCCCCAGGAGAGGAAGTATAACAGTGTTCTCTTTGGTGGTAAGTTATGAAATCTATAGTGAATATTGCTCTATACTGGCAGCAGTGGTCTGCCCACACCATATTTTGGGAGCATGTAGCAGTCAGGACTGTTTAAGACAGTAGAGCCAGCAAGAGGCTCCCCCAGGCTGTCCACATCTCCTTATGTGTGCCGTTACATCTCCTGGAGCAGAGCTGTAACTATGTATGATCAGGGAACTGGTGTGGCTCAGTGAGCTGTCCACCCACTCACATGTCACCTCAGCAATGTGAAGGGGGTCCTTTTTATTATTACTTAATTTGAGTGTTAGAGTTCTGTGGCCATGGGTTTGGGAAGGTATAGTGGTCATAGTGTGGTCTTTCCCTGGAGGCTGGGGCCAGGAGAACAGGGACTAATGCTGCCATCTAGTATGAAGAAGGATCAGCACTCCATGTAAGATATAGCTCTTTATATAGCAAACTGCAGTCATGAATGCGCGCTTTGAGGAGACGTAGAACTTCTTTGTCATGGCGTTGGAGATTGCTGTTTGTAGTAATAGAGTTTTATATCTTACATGGAGTGCTGATGTTTCTAGTTGTACCTTAAAGTGACCCTGTCATGGAAAATAAACGTTAAGACTGGTGTTACCTGTTAAAGAAGCTCATGACGCTAAATGCCATTCTGGTAGAGATGGTCCCCTGAAGTCTGGTGGAAACCTAAAATCCTGGGAGTGTCCCCCTCAGTTCTTGCTGGTTCCTCCTGCTGATCTCCAGGTCACTACAGCAATGCAGTTTACAGGTGGCAACATATTTAATATTTGTTTTAAGAGACAGGGTCACTTTAATCTGGCTCAGTGGTTCTTCTTCTGTCCGGTTGATGAGACTTTCCTAGATCTACATGAGTGAACCTGACTTGACCTAACAATAGTGATAACCACACACATTATAATCTGATTGCACAATCTCCTTTAGATTCACCAACAACTGTGCATTGCGAGGGCCTGCCTGATTGCATACAAAATGAATGGATTGTTCAGACAGGCCCATTGATTACAAGGCTTTGGGGAATCTAAAAGAGATCATAAAATCAGATTGTAATATGTGGCCAGCTTCAAATTGATCCCCATGTCTCTGAGCTGCCCATTGGATCCCAGGCTTAGACTGTACACAGCGCCACTACTTCACTTTAAGTTAATTAGGCCCCACCCCTTCTGATGCCAAGCCCCACCCCCTGTCATTCAGCAGTCAAATGACACGGCTTATAATGCACCCTGGGGTTCTGTCATGTGACTGTTGAATGACAGCAGGCAGGGCTTACCACTGGGAGGGCGGGCTTTAATCTAGACTTTATCAGAAGTCAAGGCCTCTTGCAGACCTTGGGTTTAGGATCTAAGGGTTGATACAGAGATCAGATTACCAAGATAGGTGCCTGTATTTCAGCATAATTGATCGGTTTTAGGTAAGGACGGGTTCACATTAATGATTTTCACATTAGAAGAGGAGATCCGGGGTGGTATCAGCGAGCTCTAGAAAACTCAGCAGCTGTAACATTCTGGGATGTGTTGTTTCTACAATGTAATAATGAGTGTTTTTCAGGTTTCATTGGCTCCCTCTTCTCCCTCCTGCAGTTTATCTGCTCACCGCTCACTGGAGCAGCCTCGGATTATTTAGGAAGACGGCGAGTCATGATGATAAATTCAGTATGTGCTCCCTTTACACTGCCTGTTATATGTTTGTACTGTTATAGCTGTTTTATATAGCAGTGTTTTCTATGTTCAGAATTTGCTGTAATAGTAACATTTCATTAGCTCCGGGCTCTGTTCAGCCACCGGCACTTGAGCACATCCATGGTAAAGGGACATAAGACCCCTGTGAAAGGGAGGAATCTATGTTAAGGCAAGACCACTCTTTTTATTTCTCCCACATGAGTTACAGGTGTACAGAACCCGGAGATGTGGGTCGGAACGTATTGTAGCTCTTTGACCATTACGATAAGTTGTTAGGCAGTAGGGGAGGGAGATAGCAGAGCTCATCTTTAAAGCGAAGCAAAGAGTATCATGGACCCAAGGCTAGATGCGTGAACAGTTAGTGCAATGCAATGGCTCCCCCATAGATAAGAATGCGCTCTGTAGCCTAAATGGGGTGGGGGGTCATGTAGACAACCACTGGAGGAGCGGGAAACCCCATATCCAAGAAGAATATGTCAATATGTCTCAGGACACCCATAGTGGGTCAGTATAAAAGCCATTAGAGGTGATCTGGGATGTAAAGATAGGCAAGAAGGAAGGGTGAGAAACCGGGCCTGTGGATGGGCTGAGGGATAGCCAGAAAGCAAACCTATCCTTGGGGTAACGGGTACAGAATAAATGTTCTCAACAAATACAGAACAGAAAGGATGCTAAACAGGATGGAAGAATAGGAGTAGAAGAAAAAGAAAGAGATAAAAATAGGTGGGGTGGAAGAACAAAAAAATACGGGGAAGGACCCAAGTTGCTGCTATAATTTTTTTTTATATGTTATCAAATTTTTAGTTACTAGACTGCAGTATTTTTATTATTTGGAGTATGAATCTTCCTCTGAATCATTCAATCGTGTGTGTAATTCTATTTACTACTGGTCAGAGCCATTCACAACACAGGCTGTTTAAACTATTCACAGCATAGCATTAAACTAGCCTTGTATAATATGGAGTAGTCTGGTCTGCACATGCTGGCTGCAGGTGGTAAATATGAAATCTAAAGTCCATTTTACTGAAGCAAAGATAAGAATGATTAGCCCCTATTTCTGTCCTGAGAAGTTATTTTCAAGTATGTGGTTCCTCTTTTATTCTAGAAGCATCGAGTCCCCCTCCCCCTCCCCACCCCCTTTTAGCTCCTTTCCTGCTGCCTTCTTTTCTATACATATAACATCTGATATGCTGTGTTCTGCATGCTCATATAATGGTGCTTCAATAGTTTTCAGTCCTTTAAATATACATCTGGTGCTGGTCTTAGTGTCAGTGTTGTCACCAAAGTCTTTGTGAATTTAAGTCATGCACGCTTTTGCAAAATAGAAGGAACACATTGACTAGTGAGTGTTGCTGGTAGACCTGCGGGCGTTATGTGTTCCGCTTTCTTTTGAAGAAAAGGCCTGTGTCTCCTCTTTCATTGTAATCAGAGATGGGTCAGCTGCTGGGACACGTTTAGTGTCACAGGATGGATCTAAAACCTCATTTTTCTAATTTACTTTATTTAAAGGAGAACTATGAGATGAGTGATTTCCACTCGCCTCATAGTTCTAGCCGACCTGTGACAATGAGACTGTCACAGGTCGGCTCAGTAGATCGGAAGGTGAGCGAACACATACCGGCGTTCGCTCACCTCTCGATCCTGTCACGGCTCTCTGCCGTGACAGGGGAGGGGCTGCATTCCCCCCTCCGATCCGCCAGCGCTGACTGGCGGAACGGACGGGGGAGGGGGCAGGTACAGCTGGCTCTGCCTCTAGATAGGCAGAGCCAGCTGTCAGTCACGCAGCTGGGCGGATCCAGACATAATTGTCGGGATCCGCTTCAGCTGCGGCGTCTCAGTATACTGCGAGCTGTAGCACGCGGTATACTGCGGCGTCTCATTATACCGCGAGCTACAGCTCGCGGTATACTGAGCCTAGGGTGACGGGAGGACGCTAGTTTGTGTCCTCCCGTTACCCTAAGGAGAACTATGGCGAAAAGCCTTAACCCCATAGTTCTCCTTTTAAACTGGCCAACTAATTAAATTACAATGTATTCGAAAAAAACAGCTTTGTGTGGCTGTGTTATAGCAGTGCAGGTCTGACAATAAAAATAAAACAAAGCTCCCATGATACCCTATCCTAATCACAGCATATTGGGGGTGGTGGTCCCAGACACACAGCCTTGGGAAGGTGTTTGGTAGTGTGTTTGATTATCATCACCTCTTCCAATTTCCAGAAAAAAGCAGGAAAACTGGTAATTGTGACTTCCGCAGCTCTGAATGATTACACGCTGTCCTGTTTATTTTAAACCGATGTTCTTTGATACAAAAAGAGCCATTTTCCTGGGTACAATTACCGTTCTACGCTTGGCTGAAGAAAGTGCGTCACTCCCTATGTACACAGTTTAAGTAATTATTCATGGATAATAAAAAGGGAATGTGGAGCTAAGGAAGAGCTGCAGAACGGAATGGAGGGAATCAAACTAAGAAATGAACTTGATGTGATGCTCACTTTTTCCTTTTACCTTTATTTAGCATTTACAGGATGCTGACATTAGAGATTATATACTTCTATATACAGTATAGATGGAGGAAGACTCACTCGCAGGACAAATGTTTGCAATTTCCTCTTTCTTCACATCTACACTTTGTGTAGGCCAGGAGATAGATAGATAGATAGATAGATAGATAGATAGATAGATAGATAGATAGATATAGATATAAATAATCCTTTTGCGGTTCCTCAAAAACCGGCCGAAATTGGCACAGTGTGTGGTGCTGTCAGCCCCCTCTTGATCGGCATCAGAAAATCTTCGATCGATCAGAGCCGGCAGCCAATGAGCTGCCCGCTCTGATCGGGTATTCCTGTAGCTGTCAGGATACAGTGTAAACAGCGGAATTCCTCGAACGATGTTAGTCTTGATGGAGGAATCAGGTCTATTTTTTTTTTCAGTCAGCCCACGGGTTAAATGAAAAAAGATAGATCAGTGTATGGCCAGCCTAAGTTTTGTTCTGGGTCCTGGAGACTTTGGGTGGCATAAAGACTTCATCTGCAGGCCTATAGTTTACCTGGTACCTTGTTATTAGTCTCCACTGCGCACAGGCCTTTATATATGTGAAATGAGCGATGCTCGGGGATCTCTCTCTCTCTCTGCTGTGGGAACTGTTGGATGAAAAGTGCTGAATGAAGGATAGAAAGGTAAAAGTGCTTGCCAGGAGATAGATAGATAGATAGATAGATAGATAGATAGATAGATAGATAGATAGATAGATAGATATAGATATAAATAATCCTTTTGCGGTTCCTCAAAAACCGGCCGAAATTGGCACAGTGTGTGGTGCTGTCAGCCCCCTCTTGATCGGCATCAGAAAATCTTCGATCGATCAGAGCCGGCAGCCAATGAGCTGCCCGCTCTGATCGGGTATTCCTGTAGCTGTCAGGATACAGTGTAAACAGCGGAATTCCTCGAACGATGTTAGTCTTGATGGAGGAATCAGGTCTATTTTTTTTTTCAGTCAGCCCACGGGTTAAATGAAAAAAGATAGATCAGTGTATGGCCAGCCTAAGTTTTGTTCTGGGTCCTGGAGACTTTGGGTGGCATAAAGACTTCATCTGCAGGCCTATAGTTTACCTGGTACCTTGTTATTAGTCTCCACTGCGCACAGGCCTTTATATATGTGAAATGAGCGATGCTCGGGGATCTCTCTCTCTCTCTGCTGTGGGAACTGTTGGATGAAAAGTGCTGAATGAAGGATAGAAAGGTAAAAGTGCTGCCTGCTTGTGTTGGGGAACCCATTAGGGGCCACCCTTTTAGTCAACAACTGACTTGAGTTTGGTAATGGCTCAGACAAGCAGATGGGTTTGTTTGGTGTGTTGCTGTACAAAGTCTTCCTGCACTGAGGTGTTTGTTCCTTGCCTCGCTGAATAAAAGCGCAGGACAAACCCGCTTGGACTGTTCCTGTCAATCATGGTTTACCACTGCCAATATCAGCTGACTCTGTCCCCCTTACAATATATCTATAATCATCTACATTGCTCAGCCTGCCCACGACTGGTGCAGTAATATTTCCTTTGGTGCTCCCAGGCTGCTTTGAAATCCATTGTGGTTTAAATGGATCATTTCAATTTGGTGCTCAGTCCCACTGCTGGTTATGTGTGGCCAGGTTATAGGTGAAGACCCAAGATTAAGGCCCTTTTCACACAGGTGGTTCGATCAGATCTGCTTGCCAGTTTTTTAGATGGGTCTTCTAATCAGAAGCTCAATATAACTCTATGGGCAGCATCCGATTACCCCTGACTCAGTCTAGGTCAGGAAAAAAAAATGGAACAGATTTCCATTTTGGTGGACCTGATCGTGCCCGATTGGGAGTTGTCTGCTGTAAACAGACAATTGCATTATATCGGACCTCTTGCATCTGACTCCCCATAACATGGGTCTGTACAAGAGTGACATCCGTTCCATAAATGCATGGATCCCGCTGATCAGAGCGGACAGCGCCCATGTGAATGGGGCCTAGAGTTAACTAAGAGGAGTTTCTGACTTTAGCTGCAAAGTATCCTGGAGAGCTTCAGGTGCCTGGAACTGTTTCTTAAATCGGCCACATAAATTATCCCATCTTCATTTTTTTTTTTAAAGAAACCATTCCTGTGAGACAACATTGTTAAATGCCAGAAACATATGAAGGTATTTAAATGTGTGTATGACTGACATGTGAGTTCTATGGCCTGCACGTATGACTGACATGTGAGGTCTATGGCCTGCACGTATGACTGACATCTGAGGTCTATGGCCTGCACGTATGACTGACATCTGAGGTCTATGGCCTGCATGTATGACTGACTTCTGAGGTCTATGGCCTGTATGTATGACTGACATCTGAGGTCTATGGCCTGTATGTATGACTGACATCTGAGGTCTATGGCCTGCACGTATGACTGACATGTGAGGTCTATGGCCTGCACGTATGACTGACATCTGAGGTCTATGGCCTGCACGTATGACTGACATCTGAGGTCTATGGTCTGGATGAATGACTGACATCTGAGGTCTATGGCCTGCACGTATGACTGACATGTGAGGTCTATGGCCTGCACGTATGACTGACATCTGAGGTCTATGGCCTGCACGTATGACTGACATCTGAGGTCTATGGTCTGTATGCATGACTGACATCTGAGGTCTATGGCCTGCACGTATGACTGAGGTTTATGGCCTGCACGTATGACTGACATCAGAGGTCTATGGCCTGCACGTATGACTGACATCTGAGGTCTATGGCCTGCACGTATGACTGACATCTGAGGTCTGTAGCCTAGCTTAGGGTTGTTCCTCGCCGTCTTCTCTTATCTGTGGGGTGTTCCATAGAGTGCGTTGAACTTATAACATTCTGCATCATCTTGTAACATTCTTTCAGCCTTCTTGTTGTAATTTGCTAAATACGGTTCAGTTGATCAGCATTGCTTAACTATTTGCTAATAACCTTTTTATATTCTTATGGCGGCATATACAAGCGAGGCTCTACAATGTAATGATGTTCTTATATTCCACAAAACACCCATGGTCATTCACATTGCTTGGTTTTATTGGTTTTGGATACTGCATAAGTACAAATGAAGTAGGTTGGGCCAAGGCACCATAAATGTACAAAGTGTGAGATGTGCATTGGACAATGATAGTTTTCCAAGTGTTTTCCAAGGATGATTGTGACTGTGCTTTAAACAAGACTAACCATAGATGGATAGATATCGCCCCAACACGCTTAAGCTCCCAGGACTGCATACCTGCTGTGGCCATTATTATAAAGGATCCTTGCTCTCCCTTTTGAATTAATTGTATGTTCTGGAAAAGGTAAAGGAGGAGCTGCATCACACACAGTTCATTGGGAACATTTAAAACTGCACTATGGACAGGAACAGAATCAGGCACTGTGGAAAGGAGATCTAGCTGTTGGAATATCCAAGACATATAAGAAGCCAAGGGCTGAGTCAGCCTACCAGGCTCAACCTATAACTAAACCATCATTTTGGGTGGACTGACCTTTACTGAACATCTCCTGGACCCCCTTCTTGCAGCTTTGTAGGGATTATGGAGTTAAAGTAACATCAAACCACTCCCTACATGTTCTGCTAATGTTTAAGGGAGGGTCCCCTTCTATCGCCTCATTACTTGTACTTGGGGAACTATGATCAGATGGGAACTGTTTAGCCACTTCAAGGAATGAATAACACTTTACAGCAGTGTATAGAGCCTGTTGGCCAATCTACAGACCCCATGAGAGCCATCACTGGCTAAAAAGGCTTCTTCCTTAGTCATGACCAGTAAACCATTGTGGATGATCATGCTTGCTCAATAAAATAACACGCCTCATAGTTTTGAAGTCATTGCCTGTAATATTAGAGTATTTCCAACACAGGAGCAAAATGAAGCCTGGATCACGCAGTAGTTACACACCAGAAAAAAGTCCGGTCGCATGTCTTAAGCTTCACTTAAACGTTTATTGTAGCAGACAGGTACACAACGTCCTGCCGTGGATTCTTTTCACTCTGACATGAAGAGGGTGTGCAACCGGACTTTTTCTTTCTGTGAGTAACTGCTGATGCTGGAGCAAGATGGGCTGGGCCAGTGTGCCCTGTCATTCTCTAGTGCTTCTGTGAAGGAGTGGTGATATTAGGCTATGGAAGTTACAAGATTACACAGCATTACATGAAACAAAGTAAATTCAATGTGTAGTACATAAGCCCCAATGTCTGTGTTTTGTATACATTTTCATCATTTTTGTCTGATTACTGGCCAGGCAACTCATTATATTTCTCTTTAATGTCTCCATTTCTAACAGTTTGGCATAATCGTGTCCTACGCTTTATGGGCTATCTCAAGAAGTTTTGGAGTTTTCCTCATCTCCCGCATTGTTGGAGGATTAAGTAAAGGAAATGTCAGCTTATGTGCGGCTGTAATAGCTGACCTCCCCTCCCCGAAGGACCGCAGCAAGGGCATGGTGAGTGTGGACTGTGTTCTGTTATGACAGATGGCAGATGATGATGTCTTATAAAATCTTTATGCTTTGTTATATTATGATAAAAGTCATCTTATACACATGGAGATGGCTATTGAAGGAGGCCGTAGACATTAGATGGCAGTTTTCAGCTAGATTGGGAGACAATCTAATGTCTATGTTGCACTGGTAGACAGCATCAGACACCACTGGCTGAGGACAGTGGGAGACGATCGAGGTTGGACAGGCTGGAAAAATGTGCTCATTTCTATTGTTTCCCCCTTATAATGCTGGTACCAGAGCTGTCTGCAGCGCACCACCCCTGACCCAGTCAGTAAACTGAACCTTGAATGCCGATGAGATGCAACCATTTCTGTTTAGGACTGAATTTGCTTGGTAGCAGTTGGATTGTATGTGTGTCTTGGAATGCCATTTTTGTCTCTCTGGGCCTTCGCTGTAACAGATATCATACATTTTCAGTACTTCTGTGCTAAAGACCTGAGAACAAGCAAATGACAGTCAGAAGAAAGTCAACATTCTTTATCTCTATGCTTGTTTTGGGTCAGTGGCATCAGCGTCATAGCCAAGAAACTAGCATGGTCAGCTAAAGCCGAAACGGCAGCTTACATGTTTCTCTCTTGACCGGTGTTAAATCCTGAAGCAAACCCTTTAGTTGAATATAAACGTTTCTTAAAAAAGCACCCCCCATGTTCTTTCTAGTAAACCAGTAATTTCTCTCACTGATGCCCATCACTTGACTGGAAGCCAGAACAAATATCGCCCCTTGACTGGCACATGATCTCAGCTGTAAGGTCTTTAAGGAGAGATGTACAAGTAAATTCGACCGGTCAATATCTCTGCCAGAACTGTGGTCTTCCCCTTTAATTAGAATCATGTGACCAAAGTCCCGCATTTGGTTATCTAACTGGGACATACAGGCAAAATCATCGCTGGATTGCAGAGAAAAGGTTGTAATCAACACTAGAGATTTCCAGAGACAGAAATTGAGACAGTGAAAAGATTAAAAGCTTGTTCTTAGACATGTCATGGTGGTACATTTCTGGTTAAATCTCAGTAAAGACTGCAATATGCAATTATTGCCCCCGGTTAATTGAGTCTACATTTCCTCTTCTTGTTACAGGCAATGATCGGTGTTGCATTCTCAATGGGCTTTACCTTCGGACCCATGGTTGGAGCTTACTTTGCAATAAACGCAGCCGATGGAGAGGTCTTCTATGTCCGTCCCGCCCTGCTTGCCCTTATGTTTTCTGTTTTGGACCTGCTGTTCATCTTACTGTTCCTTCCTGAGACACTTCCAAAGGAGAACAGGGTAAGACTGGCATGGAGTTTCCTATAGCTTTCTATAGCACACACTGTGGTGTGCTGTGTTGCTACGAAAAAAGTGCATACAGGTAATGACTGTTGACAGTAGGGATGCACCAATACCATTGTTTCCAAAAAGAGTACAAGTACCAATACTTTTCTTCAAGTACTCGTCCATACCAATTACCGATACTTTTTTCATGTGACAATATTTCTAAAACAATACAGACTAATGATTTTAGGACAGTGGTGGAGCGCCAGGGCCCGGTCGCAGCTGCAAGTGCAGCAATCCTAGTAGTTCTGCCACTGACAAGGAGGCGTGACCTCGGAAACGCGTTAACTAAGAAGGACAGATAGCCGGCTGGCTAAGTCTGTTTCACCTGATCTGTTTATGCCTGTTACCAATCTCCCTTTTGTGAGTACATTTCCAACTGTTTTATTCTCTTTTTATTAAAAGTTCTTACACGATGGAGGCGCTCCATGTGTTTTTGTATTTCAGTTCAGTGGTTTCCCTAACCTTTGAGAGCAATCCAGAAAGTGTATTACACCGAAGATCTCCCCCTGCTATCTCTGACTCATGCTGCTGGCACTTATGTGTATATTTGCTTTTAGTATCAGGGCATTTTCGTAAGAGTAAGTACTCGTGATTATGCCCAGTATTGGCATTGATACTGGTATTGGTGCATCCCTAGTTGACAGCATCTGTTGTTGCCTAGGAAAAGGTGTTGGCTATAACATTTGCACACACATGTACTGCCCTCTCACAGTGCAGTACTCAGTGCCTCAACAGCCAATCATCAGGTCTGAGTAGAGTTGTGTAGGGGAGTGCGCCTAGTACAGTTTAAGTAGAACACCTGAAATCGCTTCTCGGCCTTTTGGCTAAGATCAAGTGTAGTATCTGTTCTTATCAGTTTTCAGAGGGGAACAGCATGGACCATCCTGGGGTGGATGGTTGCTAAGTACTGTCTGAAGTGAAGGTGGGTGTTGAGACGGCTCCTTTTAGAGGAGGGGGAGCTTCCTCGGCACTAATGCCTCCTGATGGGGAAGGGTGCTGCACCTCTGGTCTGGCCGGAGGGTTCGGGAGGCGCAGGAGGCCCGTGGTGCTGTGCCCCCTGGGGGTGTGGCGTCCCAGGGTGTGCCAGAAAATCACTTGGGTGTGGGACCCCACCGTGATTAACTGACACTAGGTCATGGCACTCTAGCTTTTTGTGCACTATGCCTCTAGGGCAGGCCTTATGGCTATCTTGGGGCAATATTTTTGCCCTCCTGCCGAAAGGCCTGCCAGAGTTGTGCACTGGCATTCTATTTATGCACGATTGGCACCTTTGACTTCACAGAAGACAGATGGTGCGAATACCTTCAGGGCCTGTCCTGATGTCGGGGAGGAGGTTCTGTGGCCTCTATGGGCTCCCCTGCCTCCTCCCACTCGGGGCTTTCTCTTTGGGAGAGTCCCCACCCAGTACTCGGTGGACCTGTTTCGGCAGGTACCAGAGGAGAAGGGTCCGCCGGCCTTCGGGTAGGTGGACCTAAGTCGTCCTTGCCCCTCTCAGGAGCCGTGGGTCCCAGGGGGTTCAGGAATTCGAGGCCCTTCCTCTTTGGAGGAGGACCACGTCACCCTCGTGCACTTTTTTTTTTTGTGTGTGTGTGTTGTGAATTCATGATTCACTTTTTTTGTTCACAAGGGTGATCGAGTCTTCGATGCACGCATCACGGACCTTAAAACTAAAAAAAATGAAAAATCTGAAGAGGCTTTATCAAGGTAGCAGACAGAAGTAGGGAAATATGTAAAGGTACACGCAGCAGGGTTTCTACACAGAGGTAGTGTGTGTGTGTGTTGTTTTTTGTTTAATGTTTTTTTTTTTAACAGGTCCTCTTTGGTGTCAAGATGTCTGTCTCTGTAGAGACATTGATATTTATGTTGTGTAGATATTGAGAGGCAGCCAAAACCAAAAAAAGATGAGGCCAGAATAGTGGTGGCAAAACACTGAATCTGTACATCAGAGTGTGCAAAACGTCATACATTGTGCAGAGCATACAATGGCAGCAATCTCATGTCACCTAGGAGTCCCAGACGTGTAGTTTAGCAGGTTGGGAGGAGTTTCTGTTTGGCTGCTTCATGGCTCCCCAATGTTTTCTTCTCACGTTCCGTCACCTCTAAAGGCTCCTTTCCGTGCAGAGTGAAGGTCATGCCGCGGGAATGTGGGTGTTAGGACTGTAGCATTTTGTCGGGCAGGGATGAATGCCGCCTGCTCCTGATGTATTACTCACTTAAAAAGTTTCGCTCATGTGCAGGAATGTCAGCCATGGCACCAATGCAGGGTGTGTATGTGTGAAAAGACCTGACACCTCCTGCTAGTATCAGCATTCTCTGGCTTTCCTCTTCTCAAGTGTCTCTATTCTTCACTGCGGGTCTATAATGTGGCTAACATAGTGACCTTAGCGTTTCCATAACCTCCTGAGTCCTGCTTTTATTTTATCTAGAGGTGCCTGTACCTACCCAACAGCAACCACCAAGTCTGCAGCTATGGTTGTATACTGTGCAGGCAAAACTCTAACACTTCCTGCTAATGCTGAAAACTTGCTCCTAATTCCTGCCACCTCTACATTGGCCATCGAGGCTGCCCTTCACAGTGATAGGCCAATAGGAATGTGGGGAAGTAGGAGGTAATTATATGCTCCGACACTACCCAAATGTGTCATAGCTTTGCCTGCCAGAGCAGTCCAGCATTTGACTGTAACTACAGGGTTATGGAGGCGGCTGCTGCTGCTATGTGCTCTGTAGGGGCCCCCATTGTATGTCTGCTGCAGTTTCTGTCTTTAGACTGCTCCAGGCTTTTTAAAGCGTATGTAAGCCCAAAACGTATTTTCAGTATGTTTGGCATCATGTCACGCTGTGCACAATTTTCTTAATCAAATTATTTTCTTTGAATTTCTAGTAAAGTTTCTCACCTGGAGATCCTGCTCGGAACAGTTACAAGCCAACATTCCAAAGCTGCTGCCTTGCAACGTTGTCAGTCTGCCATGTGCACTCCCTCAGTCGCCTTCTTGGCTGCCTATGTGGTATGTGCATGTCTCATGCTGACCTGTTAGCCCAATGGCAAAGGCTGACAACACTGCTCATAATTGCAAGGCAGCGTGTTTAGAATCGTCACCTTGAAACAGAAAGTTCTGTAATTGGCAGGATCTTCAGGTAAGAACATTCCATATGTGAGGACAATGATGGACAGTATCAATGCTACAGCTCTAAAACAAATCACTTTAAATTTTATATACTTTGTTTGATGATCTTTAATCTTCATTCATGTGACTGCATGGCCTTCTTGTCCATTTCTATTCCCCAGTGTGGAAGCGTGTCCCTATTACCTGAGAGCAGGCAGGTGAATATTGTCCGGGACAGGAAGTTCCCTGTCTGTGCTGCGTTCCATGAGGCTGAGGGAAGGATCGCCGCCTTAATGCTGTGCCTGGGACGCTGTGAATCGGCAAGGCGTCCTGTAGCTCCCATCAGCAAGCTCAGGAATGCAAACTAACCACACCAGCACAGATCTGCTTCAGTGCTTGGAGTGGTCAGAATGCAGCAGAAGGATAGAGGCACTGGCAGGGTCACCAGGTATTTGCTAGGAAAAGAAAGTATAGTGGCAGCAGAAGCCACATGTACAACACAGGAATAATGGAATGAAAAACTGAAATATAATAAGAGTTATAAACACTGTAAGATGTTGCTGTAGCCATATTACTGTTGGGCCTTCATAGCAAATGGCTTTCACGGGCAGAAGTAGTTAGCCCTTAAACTACCATATCCCCCTGAAATTCAGGGCTGACCTTGTATGTGATTATCTGTCTATCTGGTTGTGTGTTCTAATCAATTGTAATCATTGTCTATAGGTCTCCTCTGTGATAGTGGGGTGTCAAGGGGCCCTAAACCTGATCAGTCCCCTGTCTCTGTTCAAGTTCGCAGCCATAACCAGAAGAGAAGACTTTCCATCTACCAGAAGTATGTTAAAGACTAATCGCTTATAAAATGTTGACATTAATAAGTACAAGATGGAAAAGAACATTACTGCATGACAGGGAGGAGGAGACAATCAAAGTCAACCTGTCACAAGGGAAACATTGGCACGGCCATTGCTGACCTCTCCTTTTTAAAAGTGCTAGTTGTCTGGCTAATTCACTGACTTTATTATTATTGACCTGAAACAAGTATGCAGATGATAAAAACCTGAGGAAAGTCAAAGTTACATCCCTATGCATTCTTGGGTCAGTGAACCCCCAATTTGACAATAAAGAATTTGTTGAAGAAAAAGGGTCATCGTGACAGTTGGACAATTAGTATATTCTAAAGAGAGGTTGGTTATGGCAGCCTCTGAGGGTTCCCAAGGTGCACTTTCTATGAAACCTACTTCACATATACCTGTATTCATTATTGTATCACAGTATCATTGCATCAGTGCGTTGTGGTGCATTGTATCAGCAAAAATGGTGCAGGTGGGTTCTATGTCCATTGTGGTATTAACCACTTGCTGACCGCGGTGTTTATACCCCCTTCCTGTCCAGGCCATTTTTCAGTATTCAGTGCTGCAGTACTTTGACATTTATTCTGTCATGCAACGCTGTACTGAAATACATTTGATACAATTTTTTGGGGACAGATAGAGCTTTCTTTTCGTGGTATTTAATCACCACTGGGGGTTTTATTTTAAACTATATAATTGATTCCTGTGTCACAAACTTGCGTTTTCCTGCAGCAGGAAACACTAATCTGGCGTTTACATGCAGCAACTGTCACCCATTCAAGTTAATGATCGGGTGACAGCCGCTGCATGTACACACCTGCATACCGCATGCAATTGTATGTGATATGATTACATGCAGTTACAAAAACAATCACTATCAATAGTGACAGATTCCTAACTGGATGTAATCCTTTCACATATGATTACATGCGGTGTGCAGGCATTTACATGCAGCAGCTGTCAGCCGATCATTAATTTGAATGGATGACAGTTACCGCTTGTAACATGTACAGACATTAACACTGGTACCGTATATAGTAAAGGCCCCCACGGGACTAAAAAATTTGTCCAGTGGCCCCCGACTAAATTGAGTTTGAGACCCCCTGTATTAAAGTATTGCACTTTTTAAAGGTAAAATCCTTTAAAATATTTTTTTAAAGGATTAAGCGGGGAAGGGTTAGATTACATGATGTTGTGTGGGGAAATTTCTGCCCACATCTGCATACCAAGACAGGGATTGAGGGGAAATGTCTTCCATATTGACAAAGAGAGCAAAAGCTCCCCTCTTTGGCCATTCTTTGAGGGACACAGGAAGTCATATACTGTTGGGTTATACTGCCACCTACAGGAAAACTGGACACTGGTAAACAAAAGAAATCTGTAGGCCAGCCCAGGGTTACCCCTCCTACTACCAGCATACCTCTTTTTTTTTTTTTACTAGTGTTCTAGGAGGATGGACATCTATTCTTCAGCTCTGCTGAGTCTAACCAATTTTTTGCTAGCATTTGTTCACTCTTTGCAGTTGCCCACCCCTCAGTTAGACTGCTTTTGGATGTCCCAAAGGTATTTGACATCCTGTGTCCCTCAGTGGGCAAGAGAGAAATTAGCGTTTTTGTACTCTCCTTAAAATCCACATTACTCACCCGCTGTGTTAAAATTATGCTATCGGTACTTCTTGCTACAAAACTGAGGCATGCTGGTAGTAGGAGGGGGAATTCCCTGGGCTGGCCCACAGTTGTTTTTGTTTTTCCAGTCCTCCTTCAGGCAGCAGTATAACATGACCGTAGATGTCTTCCTGTGTCCCTCAATGGACTCCAGACAAAGGGTTATATGGTCAGCACAAAAGTTTGGAAGGGTTAGAACCTCCGTCAGTGTTTTGTAATACTGACTGTGCCTCATGGGGGAGTGTCATGGTGTCACCTGGAGAAGAAGAAAGGTGAGATCTTCCCAGTGATGAGACGGCAATAAAAGGTTCTGACCCTTTCTAATGCGATCCAAAGCAAACAAAAGCTTTAGTTGGAGTTAGTAGTGCTGATTAGCTGGAGTTGCGCTTTAGCTGCTACCTTAAAGATAGACTCCATGTTTAGCCTTGTTGTCCATAACCTGTCATCTCCATTTTCCAGGACCACTTTACTATGTATGGTTCATTGGCAATGTCCTCTCACTTTTCCTTAATGTGTGCCCGGGGATCACTAAGAGATGAGCTGTGCCATACTAGAGAAGTGTGACGGCACGATATGCAGAATGTTGAGGGAAACCCTAACGTGGTTCACTAGACAAAAAATGAAAGACAGACTCTCGGCTGTAAATGGTCCCTTTGTTTTTACTGGCGGAAAGCTGCCAATGTAGAAAAGTAACAGATGGAAGAAAAAGAGACAAGCGTAAAAATAAGTATATTGGAGGCAATTAAAGTTACCCTGACTGTATACTGTTCACACTGCATTTTCACTAAACATGTTGGCTGCTCATAATTGTCCTACTCATAATGCAGATTATTATATAATACGCAGATTTTGGTTTCTATTATATAGACCTTGACCTTCAGAAGTCAGCTATTCCAAAGGGAATACGGTGTAATTGTGCATCAGTTGTACCACTTCCTGTCATTTCCTAACCTGCCCTACAATAATGGCAGCTGGAACCTGATTGGCTGATATAACATGTTTCCTACATTGGTTTGAGTTCTGTAGCTTCATTGCCTCCAAGTTTGTTAATACATAAGAAGCATATGAGACATATGTAACCCATGAATTATCTATGTGCAGATGTGCAGAACCTCCGACTGTTGGGTCTGGTCTATTTCCTATATCTCTTCTTCTTCTCCGGCCTAGAGTATACCATCAGCTTCCTCACTCACCAGCGCTTCCAGTTCAACAGGTGAGTTCAGTTGTGGGGGGATATGAGATATGATGGGAATAACACAGTTCCTGATGTTTAATACATACAGGACAGTGAGTCCATACAATAGTATATTAGTCATCTAGAAGTCACTAATACATTTCACTAAAGGCCTATTCATTAGCACACTTTAACATACCCTAAACCAGTGCTCCCCAACCTTTTTATCGCCGCGGACCGGTCAACGTTTTAGAGCTGCAACAATTATTAGATTAAGTCGATCAAAATCGACGATGGAAAACGTTGCCAACGTTTTCCATCGTCGATTCATCTGCTAAAATGTAGGTGAGTCACAGGACCCGCCCCCTCACTGAGAAGCCCGTCGGCAGTGCAGGGCCCCGGTGTTCGAACACCAGGACCCTGCACTGCCCCATATTGCAGGACCGGACCGCACTGAGACTGTGCGGCCCGGTACCATTTGATCCGCGGACCGGTACCCGGGGGTTGGGGAACACTGCCCTAAACTGTTCCTTTTAAAGTGTCAAACTTTTTAGGAACTTTTGAACTAAAGTTAAGCTGGCCATACACTGTTCTATTTTTTTCATTTAACCCGTGGGCTGAACGGTAGAGCAGATTCCTCCACCAATGCTACAAGCGCTTGATTGAGGGATCTCCGCTGTTTCTTTTGCATTCTGATGGCAGCCGTCAGATGTTCAAAAATGCAGGTGTCCTATGACACCTAGAGCAAAGTAGCAGCTGTCACCTATTTGGTTTGCTTTGTGATAACTGGGGGGCAGGAACTGAGTGGCAGTGTATATGAGCCGATAAGAACAGGAATATAGAACCTATTTAATTTTATTTAATTACAGGTATTTATATAATGCTGACAATTTACGCAGCACTTTACATAGTGCACATCAGTCCCTGTCCCCTAGGAGCTTACAATCTAAGGACCCTAAAATCACACACACACACACACACACACACA